AATTGGGGAATTGCCTCCATTGAACTGGCCTGTGGCCGTGTCTGTGGGGCATCTTCTTGACTGTTGAGTGATGCGGGAGGGCCCAGCCCACTGTGGGTAGTGCCACCCCTGGGAAGGTGGGCCTGTGTGAAAGCAGGAAGCAGGCTGAGCAGGGGCCAGAGGAGCAAGCCAGTAAGCAGCATTCCTCCATGGCCTGTGCTCCAGCTCCTGCTTCCAGGTTCCTGCCCTGAGTTCCTACCTTGGGCTCCCCGATGAGCTGGGAGATGTGATATAAGCTGAATAAACCCTTTCCTCCCTCCCCAAGTTGGTATTGGTCAGAGTATTTTGTCACAGTAATGAAGAAAAAAAAACCCAGGACACCAGATAATACAAACAGAAGCATACTTCAACTTAATTCTCATATCAGATTCATAAACAACAAAAGAAATTCACATGCCAAAATCACAATGAAAGAATAATAAATGGAAAGCCAAAACACTATGTTCCCACCAATCCCCACCAGTCCTGTAGAAGAGTTCTACAAGGAGAACGCCCTAGAGACAACCCAGGACACTGAATTTAAAAGAACAATCATAAATATGACCAAGGAATTCAATGAATTTAAAGAACCCACGAACAAACAAATCAAAGAGTTAAAATAAGATAGGGATGAACTTCTGAATGAATTCACAAAAGAGATAGAAACATTGAAGAAAATTCAGGCAGAAATGAAGAAGGAAGTGCAAAACTCAATAAGCCAACATACAAATACAGGAAGCACATAGAACACCAAATAGGATCAGAAAAGAAACTCCCTGTGACATATCATAGTAAAAACACTAAATGTACAGAACAAAAAGAGAATACTGAAAGCTTAAAAGAAAAACAACAAGTCACATACAATGGAAAGCCCATCAGAATTACAGCTGACTTATCAATGCAAACTATGAAAGCCAGAAGATCCTGGACCAAGGTATTTCCAGTTCTACATGACAATAGATGCCAGCCCAGAATACTATACCCAGAAAATACATCTTATTATAGTTGAGGGGGAAAGAAAAATCTTCCATGACAGGAATAGCCTGAAAGAATGCATGTCCACAAAACCAGCCCTCCAAAGAATACTTGAAGCAATACAGAGAGCAGAGAGAGAAACTACAACAC